GTGGATAATTAACCCTGTTCTGTACTTCGAGAGAGACTGAACGGGAGTTGAAGTCCACACATCTTAAAGTTGCCGAGGTTGAGAAACACTAGTTTAAGAGGTCTGAACTGTAGTTTTAAAAAGAATGTAGTGGGAGCGCCAGTAAATTTAACAACCAAAACGTAAGTTGCTTGCAGAATAGGATCCCTATGGAAAAAATAAACTCACTAGTGCATCTAAAATATGCAGCTGTCTTTATGTTTTGTCCACGCTTATATATTTTGATATACAGTTCATAAAACCACTTTTGGGGAAAGAAAACAAAATTGAATAGGCTATAGGACAGGTATCTGCTGGATGCTTGCTAATCGTAGTAAGGACTGAGCTGTTTGCCCAGCACTGGGAATTTTCTCAGCTCCAACAGTTATTCCTTAACTAGACCCAGCTTGGTTGGGCATTGATATAACTTTAGTAAACCAACTAGGGTAACCCAGTCAAGTTTTGTAACCAATAGTTCAAACTTGCTTACTGGTTCTGCTGCAGAATATTTAAAAAATATTAGCTAGGCAGTCTATTCCAACACTGAAAACTACAGCAAACTTTGCAAACAGTTATTATTTATATGCTTTTATTTATTTATATTTCAAATTTGGACACTGCCCATCTCACAAGGAAGTGACTCTGGGCGGTTTACAATAAAAAATTATATCTGCATAATAGACTAAAGAAAGATTATTATTCTCCTCATAAGAGACTAATGCAAGATTATTTCTTTTTCTAATGTTAGAGATCAGCAATCCACTCAACAATAATAGATTTTTTCATACATCAGTAGATAAAGCCAACTTACTGAAGATAGGCATACCTGATTTGAGTATCTCATGCTAACGTTCCGTTGATCTTGAGGCGGAATGAAACGCTTCACTGGGTCGATATCTTTAACGCTTACTAAACCATCAACTGAAAGCAACCATCAACTTGTTATTTGTTATTCATTGATAACTGAAAGCATTTGTCACTATTATACGATTTATTACTCTGAAATATCCAAGAACCCAAATCAGCATCCGATTAACTAAACAGAGAGATAACGAAATGTAGTGGCTAGTCTCTAGATCACTGAATGCATCAGAGCACATTTTTGCCAGAACATGTTACATACCCAAGGGGATCAGAAAGCCAGTTTCAATCCTAGAATTAAACAAGCAGCGTGGACAGCTTATTCTGAGAGACATTTTCAGCACATATTTTTTTCCCAAGTGTCCCTTGAAAAGCCATCTTGAAATCTAACACTGCACTGAGGGATAATGATCTTGAACAAATGTACTATGACAAGTCATGTGCCCATACACTGTCTCCTCACCCTTTCATTGTGCTTCACACTTCAGCATCAATGGCTTGTTTTTTTTTTTCCAGTGTCAGTTTCCTCTTGGATGTAATAGGAAGCTATAGCTTAAACAAGACATACTGTCAGTGTTCAAAGCCAGACAAAGCAGTCTAAGGAGAATACATCTATCAAAGGCCACCAGTCTTGATGGAGATATGCTGAATACTTCTGAATCATAGGCATATCTTAAATGCAAACTGCTGGGGAGCATAATTGAAGAGGTTGGTAAAATGGAAGATGAACCAAATGGACATTTGGCCCAAACCAGCAGTGCTGTTCTTACATTCTTAAATACGAGGGAGTTCATTCTCAAGTTAATAAGCTATGGTTTAGCAATTCTAGGAAACTGTGTGTGATATACGCTCAAAAGGACCCCCAATGATCCAGGGACGTGAATCATGGCACTTTCCTGACACTGATAATGCTACCTAATTGGATAACGAAACGTCTATAAGCAAACAACCAAGCTCAGAGAGCACTGAGGACTCCAAAGTGAACTTTTTCATGCAGCTTCTGAAACTCCCAAAGCCACCATAGTCTAGGTGCAGGAAAACCATATTCAAACAGGAGGAAATTCTGACTCTTTGGTAGATATGTTTACTTACCAAGAAGTTTTGAAATAATATAGAGGGACTGTCCCCACAGAAAGAACTTTCCGTCTCGTCCATGGTTGCTAGGAAATCTTTTCTGGCTGCCAGGATTTTTCTGTTCCAGTTCAACAAAATCAGCTGGCACATAGTAATATTTAGGTACAACAGGATGGCCTGTGAATTTTTAAATATACTAGTTAGAGAATGAACAACGAATTATGTCAAAATAAGTTTCAAAAAAAGCACAAGCACAGTGAAATGAGGAAACGCTGCCATTGCTAATAATCACGCCATGCTACAGCTCACTAAGGACACAAAACACATTCTCAATCCCGTTATTTACGCCTTGACTGAACAGATGCAATGCCTATAAACTGGTTCTAGAGGAAAAAAAAAGGTAATTTTTGACAGATGGAAAAGACTGCACTTTTTTAGAGATACCATTGTCATGCTGGTGCTACAGATCAGAAACACGTACAACTGCTGTTAGTAACTGCCTATAAAAGCCATAATGAAAAGGAGCTCAGAAATGATATAGAAAAAGTTCACCTGCATTTTTCAATATGGTGCTTTAAGCTCATTTCCCCCAATACACAGAGTTTTTAACATCATCACATATACGTATATCCTAAAATACTTAGGCATTTGAGATGCACGTATATGCCGTAGAATGAAAATTTTATTACAATTATATTGTGTATAGTGTACGCACATTTAATTAAATTATATATTATTTCATGCAAATGGCATAATCTGGGATTTAAAGTAATTTTTTCTTAAATTGTTAATATTCCACAATACAGTGGGAAATCTAAAGTGGGAAAGATAAGCTACTATGAAATGTTGCAAAGAAAAATATCTTACTAACTTTCTAGAATTATTTTAAAAGAAGGAAAACAGAAAGTAAGCGCTAAAATAGTTTGCTGTGGTTATTTTAATTAGCCAGATTCAGCTAATAAAAAGCATAAGGCAAACAATGAATGGAGAGGAGTCTGCAGATTAAGAACAAAAGGATCATATCTATAAGAGATACTCCACATCTCAAGGCTTTTTCTTTGTAGTATTTTCAAATGGAATACATTTATTGCGCTGATATGGGGAAAAGGCAATGAGATCATAAACATAACTGAAATTGAATTCTTTTAAAATTAACTCAGAGCTCTTTTCAGAACCAGAAATTCACCTTGAGAAAGATGAGTACAGAGATATCCGCAAGGCTCCTTCCCTACTTAAACTCTGCATCATGCAAGACCTGTGAAGTGCCACAATTAAGCCCCAAATTACCACCCATTTGATTAGTCCCCACGGCCAACTGTTCTAGGAGACAGTTTCCAGAGCAGTGTTTCTCAACCTTGGCAACTTGAAGATGTGTGGAATTCAACTCCCAGAATTCCCCAGCCAGCATGCTGGGGAATGTTACTTTCTTTGCCATGACCAGATATTATGGATTCGCTTCACATGAGGATTACTCAATTTACCCATTCTACAATATCTTCTCCTTTGGAGGATTTGGTCTCATGCACCACACGGTTGTATGTAACAAGAGAAGAGGTGGTGAAAGGCTCTTAAGCAACTGAATATTTAACCAATTGACATTTCATTCACCAGACAATGACGTCCATTTTCTGCTGAGCCACATTTAAGAGGAGAAATTAATTAAATTTTACATCATATTTAGCCTGAAGCTGAGTTCTTGTAAGTACTTAAGTCTTTTCCCTAGTAGTGGATTGGCATTTGCTACATTGATCTGAAACATGCTTTAGGACTCCTGTTCCAGAGATCTCCGTCAAGAATACCTTCGGATGACTGTTGTAGTAAAGGATCCAGAAGCTGCTGATATTCTTTGACTTGCTCAGTGTTACCTCGGAAGACTCCTAAAAGCAATCCAATAACACTTTATTAGCAAGACGTGTCCCTCTCTAGTTCGCTCAGTGCTAATGAAAAGGCCCATCACACAAGCCCCTTGCTCTTGGCTCAGATACAACAAAGGGGGGCTAATTTCAATTTCAACAGGAAACGCTTCCCATCTTTTTTTCACAGCTGTAGGAAGGGAGCTTGGGATGGGTGGCACTCAAGCTCCAGGCATGTACATATAAGGCCAAAATATGGCTTACGGTTGTATGTTAACACAGCCTACATTTTGCACTTGGACAGGGCTGACACATACAGACCAGGGTTTAATCCTGCCTCTCCTCACTTGGCAACGTACAGAGAATCACACACAGTGGTTTGCTGCCAACAAAGATCAGAAAGAGAGCAATGACATCTAAGAAAGGTGGAAGATGGAATGTGTGGTGAGAGGAATGGCTCACAAGGTATTTTCCTATTACACATTCTCTCACACAATCATATATGGGCATACATATAATTTTTATGGATTATACTTTAATACCCACTACTACTTGAAAATAATTTCCCTGGTAGGTAGGGGGTTATGAAATACCAGCTGGACTACCTGCAGTTTTTGTCATGATTACAGTGTTAGGCTTTGATCTGTACAGACTTTTCTTTTAGTGACATTTGTCTATAATTCACACTTGCCAGCTGTTCCATTTCCTCCTTGCAGGGTTTTTTTTTGAGGGGGGGGGCTGGAAACTTTGTGGATTTCAAATTCTGTATTTCCTTGAAGACAAAGGTCATGAGGCAGGGGGGAAAATGTCTTTGAAGCTACATGAGATTTCTATAAAAGTCATTTACTCTGCTGTGACCTTAGGTCTATCTCTGAAAATCCAAATCCGGATGGCAGGTATGTAAACAGCATTATACTAGAGCACGTGGAAAGATCTACCTAAACCAACCTTCTGCAATTTCATTAACCTGGCTGGGAATGATGGGGGGCGAGTTCCAATTATTTTCAGTTGGGTCTGTTGAGATAGATGGAGGAGTTCTTGTAGGAAACAGAACACTGTTTCTGCATTAGTCATCTCCCAAAATTTTTGAGAATTTCCAAACCATAAAAAAACTTTAGTTGGCTACTGTTAACTGTAAATCAGTAACCGCTGTGTGCAACCAAACACAATGAGAAATAAAGCTCAGAACAGAAAATCAGTTTATGCCTTAAATACTCGAATTCATTTTACTTAGGTACAGAATTATTACTGAAAATTCTGGTATAAGCAGTTACAATCTTCCCTCTTGGTTTATATGGAATAAGCAATTACAATCTTCCCTCTATATATATCCCTCCCACCCTCCCCTCTGGGTTGCACTGTATATTCCAACACTCATCCTCTGACACAATAAGAATACAAAATAATACTTACCATCAATCGTCATAAAAATAAAAAAGAGAGGAAATTCGCATTCAATGCCATCAAAGAGCTGCAAGTTTTTTTAAAAAAGAGAAAAATGTAAAAGGCACGCTGCAGTTTTATTTACGGAAACATATTCAAGCCTCCTATTACAAGTTCAAAGAAAAGAAAGATACACATGAAAACACATTATTCTTTTTAAGTATAACAACGTACATGAAGAAAGAGAAAAAAAGATATTTCATCTGGCTACATAAAAAATTGCAACACTTTCAAAATACGGTACCACAATTTTATGCCTGAGATATATCACATCGTCCTTCTCTACAAAGAAATTTCATTTACATTAAAAAAATATGAAAAGAAAAGTGAAGGAAAAATGGGAACTCCATTCAGACAGCTTTTAATGGAAAGCATTAATATTCAGTACCATATCAAAATTTTATTATTAATACACTCCAGTCTGTAGTCAGCTGTGAAATTAAATAAAATGATAAATAATGTGGCTGTTTGTGACAGGAAAGAAACTATACTTTGAGCCTGAAATGCAGGCACATTCACCTTTAAACAAATCAATCGGGAAGAAAAGTGCTGATGCAATGCGCTCAGTACTGCACATACTACAAGTCATGTCTCCTTCACTAAAATGGATTGCAAGGAAGTGGCAAAGCTAATGGCTTGTATGATTTGCTAGCGTCTTCCCACTCCACTTTATATAGTGAAGCCATGAACGTTTTCTTTGGGTTCCGTAAAAACGTGCAGCAACGTCAGAAGAACATGGAGAAGAACACCTAAAGAATGCTAGAAGAACACCTACAACTCAACTTTTCCCCATAGATTTGACTGAGCTAAGTCATGTTTAACTTGATGCTGAGTCTAAGGGATGCAATGTATTCTGCGCTACTTGTCCTGCCGTCTGTCTTGCTTCCCCTGCCCCCTTATACAGGTAGATTACATTTTGAAATGGGATACATAGTTCAGGCAATTCTTCACAACAGTCAGAACATGGGGAGAACACAGATGATAAACTCCTCATTAGTGAAAGATTGAAAATGAGCTACAGGACTACATACTATCACTTGTGCATGTATAAAATAGTTATGACTTGAATCTAGCCACTGGCAATCCAGCCTCTTGTTTCTAACAGAACTCAGATCAATGGTAACCTAGACACTAGGTTATCTCTATCCTGTGTCTTCCTCTCCAGAAATTTGGGACAATGGATATTTAAGGGACATTAATGCTTCTATCGACAGTTACTCAACATTAATCTTTTTTGTTAAAATCTGCACTCAGGAAAGAACAGCGACGTCAGTAAAATGCAAGTAATTAGAACCTGACATCCAGAATCAAGCTAATTAGCAATGTAAAAATTATTCAAAGTGGGCAAACCTGGAACTTCTTTGCCTAGTCATTGTAACAAACACATGTCAACCAAAAAAAGAACAAATACTATACATCTAACATTTAGGAACACAAATTTATTCATTCCCATTTCACAGGAACAAGGTCATTACCTTAATTTCTGCTGGTTTATAGTACTGTCGGTTTTTGTCCTCCAACGCGGTTCTATAACCATCTCTCAAAAAACGCTTAAATCCATATTTTCCTTTGAGTTTTCTAACTATTTTATCAACTGTTTGACTGTACAAAGCTTCGTCGTCCACAGCAAATGCAGGGTAGCTGATACAAGGTAGGAGAGCAGCATCAGTGTTCTGGAGTGGGAAAAAAAAGTTTGTCTAAATAGTGGATGAATATTCACAATTCAATGGACAATAAATCTGGATAATAAGAACACTTATTTCTATACTGTATCTACACATTCAGTATATCACACATGCTAACTCCAAACCAAGTACTATGGGTGCTTCAAAATGTATTTTGAGATCTGGGGATTAAAGATTTTTTCTATTACTTCAGTATCCAAATGGGATGAGAACATATGCAGGGATCTGACTTGAGTTGGAAATCTATGTGGACATTTCTTTACGTGGAAGTTTCATATAGAGTTCAGAGAACAATGCAAGGTGTTTTGATGTTCTCTGAAGTCTATACGGATGGAAGGTAGAGAACCATTTCATACCAGATGAGACCGACGTTCTTTGCTTTATCTATGCAACAACTATAGGTACATCAAAATTGAAACTACGGGGGTTTAAGAAGCATATACATACACTGGAACGTTTACAGTGAATGCCAATGGAGCTATAAAATACTCAAATGTTATAATAAAAAAGCAGTGTTCAGTCAGGTACTGACAGGGTGGAGAAGTTTTCTGAATACACAATCAGGTTGTTGTTGTTGTTTGTAGTTTTATATCATGAGCAAACTCCCTAAGGAAAATTTTACAATGCAGGTTTGCAAACAAAAACTGATTACCTAATTAGTAAAAGCAGTTTTAGGTTTCCCTTTCTCTTATCTCTTGCTTTTCATTTCTCTTGCTCACTACTTACACGTTTTTGTGCTTTGCACAATGTTGGGTACTCCAAAAGGGAACAGAATGATGGTATTTATATTATGTACTGCAAGAATTGAGCGAGCTTATAAACTAAATGACTTTTCAAATCCCCAGAAAAGATAAAGTTCTTAAACAGTGGAGACAATACAGAGAATAAATTTCATTCCCTTGTTGGTCTATAAAAACATTTATGAGCACGATAAAATTAAAGGAGCGGCAAGATTAAAAGAATCAAATTCTGATCCATATGAGAACATTCCCAATCTTTAAACCTATATCCTGAAGAAAATACACATACATATTTGGGGCGTCTAGGAGTTGAAAATGAAGTATTTTTCCTTGAGGCAGCAGTGAGGATAGTCTGTTGGAACTGTCAAAAGCGGTGTGCCAGGACTGCCAATTTTAAGATAATGAAATAGATGCATTGTTATGCTAATGAGTAGTACCTAACGATGAAATGGCTCTCAGCAGGCCTTATCCCATCAGAAAATATCATCCCCAAATCCAAGTATAACTATTAGCCCCCCAAATAACTAATTACATATTTCTATCCTAGAAGAGTTCCCAGATATTAAAAATTGAAATAGAAATTGAATACACAATGAAGAGAAATAATGAAGAAATGTGTCTTTTGCATGCACTGTTTAGAGACAGTGATGGTATTATGTTCAATTCTAAAGTTATACTGCAAATGCATCAGAAATTCTGGAAGTCAGACTGATCCAACATATTTACTACTTAATAACAAATTACCATGGTCAGAAAATTGTTCTTTACTATCACTTTATTATTTTCCCTCTTATAATATCTATAAAAGATGAGTCTGCCATAAGAAAGATCTCTCTCGCACAGTTCTTTCTGAAAAAGACCCTGTCTCTAATTCTATTTAACAGCAACCTTATTAAAAAAAAAAGATAGTAAAACACTGATAAAGCTAAACAACTATATTCAAATTAATTCCCTCTATGTTATTATACTTAACATTTTGCTTACATGAGATCTTGATTCACGAGGAAGCAATGAGCAAAGGGTTTGCCTGTTCCGATTATGAGCATCAAGGTCTACAAAAATGACAGACCACGAACAACCCTGTAAATGGAACAGAAAATCAACGCAATGCAGAATATGCATAGCAATAACTGGAATAGCCATTATTGGCAAAGTGTATAAATTATCTGGATATTAAGATTACCAGTGACAATCATAACCTGGTAATTTCAAACAGATGGTGACATTTCCAAGACAAATGTATATAGCTCTAGTTTATTAATATTAAAGGATTCAGTAGGCATTTGAAAACAAGTTAGTAGATGGGGGAAAGGGGTTGAGATTGCCAAAACTTAATTTTCCAGAATTATTTACAACTGCTACTCAATTAAAGCTTTCATCTGTTTTGCAGGAGGCATACTTATGCAGTCAATAATTTGATGAATAAAAACAATCTGATCGAATATAGATTTGGCCACAGGATAGTGACACATCTAGAAATTATGTGTTAAGTAAGGGTATGAAGAAATATTCTGTGGTAATACCCCATACACCGATCAATTGCAATAGGGCTTCTTCTCATCAGTTGGCAGAGGAGACCTTTCCAAGCCAGAAGTACTGAACATATTTGTTCCAGCAACACATTCCAAGGGGTGATTCCCTTGAGTCTCAATCCAAAGTATTACCAAACTTTAAATCAAGGATTTTTCCAAGTCTCAGGTGGTCATTGATGCAACCTACTTAGACTCCTACTTTAATATGCCCTGTAGAGTTGATCTAGCAGCAGCAGCAAAAATAGCAGTGCCCATGATCAGAACATGGTGACTTAAGGTCACCTTTTAATTTCTCATAGGACTTACACTATACAGGGAACATTGTGAGAAAATCAGCCTACAGACTTAACTGCTGTTATAGGGGAACAAGGGCAAGTATCAGAGCTTCAGAGACCTTACCAACTGGAGTTGGCTTATCACTTGCTATACCCATTTCACTCCTTCCTTTTCTGGGGAGTGAGTAAGTTCCCAAGGGCTGAAGACTTGTTGAGTTTGCTTATGAAGCTTGGGGAGCCTACAATTTGAGGGCTCTCTATATTACCATTCAGAAGGTCCTATCCCATCTCCCTCTCCCTCTCCCCCCCCCTTTAATAGAGAGCAAACCCCACTCCATTCTAGCACTGAAGATGTTACTTAACCAGGTAACAAAATGTTTGCAAGAAAACAGCCAAGCTCAGAGAACCCCAAGGATTCCACTATTCTCAACTATTTCCTGAAGGCTACTTGATCTTTCTTTCCTTCAGTGGCTCATCCAGGTCTATGCAACTTTGTTATTGTATCAGATTATTATTGTACTATTATTCTGTGTGGTTCCTGACAATCTGAGGTTTAGCAGTTCTGATTATCCCTAAAAGCTGATAGTTTTTTTTTTGGCAAATGGTAATGGTTAATTTTCCATCTGCCAAAGGGACTCACGGGTCCTAATTACTGAAACCGGTGTAATATCCTGTGTACTCAAAACAAATACAAAAAACAATATAATGCAGTTTTCAAAGCCAAGCATAGGTTAACAACCTCAGATTGTTTTTTAAGATGTGCAATTAAGCTATCCTGCTCCTTAGCACAAACAAATTGCTCTCAAAGATGTCTTTATTCAATTATATACTTTCAAGTGTATGATCAATGAAGATATGAAGAAAACTATGCTGCATATCTAATTATGCATTTTTCAGTAATTCGCTTTGTGGTAAAGAGAATTTGTAATAGAGAAGGAGAGTATCGGCCAATTAATCCAGATCTAAATATAACTAAACACATGGACAAAAGTTAGAATCCCCATGGGCCTGTTCATATGCAATGAGTTTCCATAAATAGGTAAAGAGGACATTATTTCTTTTCAGATCTCTGGAAGTTCTCCTGATCATTGGATGTAGACATTCAACATCCCAGGGGCCTACAAACCTCAACTGTACCTCCCTCTTTCTCAAGGACCTCACTTTGATACATTTTTTATTAGCATTCCCAACCCAAGTACTAGTATTAAAGGAAATGATGAATGCAGCATGACTATGTTAGCATGAAATAGAAATATGGAGCTTATGATATTCAATAGACCATTTATTTGTGTTAGCCTGAAGAAAGCTACAATTGGGGAGTGCTTGGTGACCTGCAGCTGAGTGCCTCAACCCTACAATCTCCCCCAGGTCAGTTGCTGGAGCAACCACAAAAACTGGAAAATTTGTCCTGGGCTGGTAGCCCACATCAGTTGCCAAGGCAACACTAAGCACATTCCAGGAGCATCTAGGAGCACTGGGAGAACTAGCACTGAAAAAGCCGGCTTAGTTTAAAATAGATCAAGAAAGCAGAAAATATATTGACTCCTGAGGGAAACTAAATTCTCCTTGTGTAGATGTGCCTCTTGGAAATCAAGAGGCACATCTACAAAGCTGATTTCTTACCATAAAGCCCCCCATCTCACCCCTGAAACTGTCTATTGGCTCCAACCAGGAAACTGCCTCAGTTTAAATCATAGAGGAAAAGATGACGGACGTAAGGCATCAGACTCTTTGACAAGCAAGGTTAACATTGGTATCAAATTATCAGTTGGGCTGTTACTATCATACTAGACTTCCATCAAAAGGCTCTGCTTCTTACAGAGCAGTATAATCTTTCTTCCACAAGAAAACTAGGCTTCTGACTGACAACTTTAGAGCAAGCTTCAAATATCTGGACCCCACTTAACAAAATTTCCAGGCCCTGTGGCCTTTCCACACCAGAAGTTGTCTCTTCTTCCTTTAACTCCAGTGTCTTCACGGGATATCTTGTAGCTTACAATTTGAGAGCCCTCTATATGGCCAATCAGAACGTCCTATCCCATCCCTCTCTCTCTTTCATTAATAGACTATACGGCAAGAAAAACAGATGAAAGTAGTAGTGGAAAAATAAAGGAGGGTTGCAAATAGCAATTGTCACATACAAGCTATTCTCAATTATTCCTTGTAGTACCTAGTAGCTCCCCCCTCTCTTGACCCAGCATGGTTTTCTCTTGTTCTGCCTCCCATCTTCCTATATTAGCATTTTCCACTCCCTCTTTCAATAGGTAAAAGACAACGAGGTTTAAGAAATTGTGATCTGGGCTTTACAATGTTTTCTCTGTCTACAGGTAAGCAGCTTATCTGACTTGTTATAAAGGACGTTTGTGCCCTCAGGATTGCACGCCACCCGCAGCCCCATTTCAAAGCTCTCTTGGTACTAACTTCTGGCAGAGTGATTTATTCCTGGCAGCCTGCTGGCAAGGAACTGGGGGAGGGGATGGCGGTGGGAGAAGAGAAGGAAGAGAGAGCAGAATAAAAGAGACGGATGTTCAGAAAGAGAAAAGGTGTGACCCCACCTATTTTTGCCTCCAACTGTTTCCCCACTCTTTGCCTGGACTGAATGTAATCTGGGAAAAAAAAGAGAGCTAGCCAATCCTGCTGTAAGGGCTCTTCCTTCGATGAATATATGCAAGACATTCTCTCATAGCCACAAATCTGCATAAAGATCTCATCCAAAGCATTACACAGAAACGTGATGCAATGGAGGGGCTGTCACTGTTTCCCCAACTCAGTATTTGAATGCAAGGCAGGTCTGCATTCACAGGAAGTATTCAGAAAGCAAGTTGCTCTTTCATATTTCAAGGTCAAACAGAGGTCATTTGCAAAATCTCCACCTTCCAAATCCTCTGGATTAAGACTTAAATTTAAGATGAAAAGTTGCTTTGTGCCTGCTAGCCGTTTACACTTTGTCCTGTTGAAGTAGCCATTAGGAAAAGGGCCGTATCTACAGCTGCATTTACATTTTGGAGACTACAAAAAGCGATTCGTTGGACCCTGATCCCTTGTTAGTTTAGTTGGAAAAACCATGTATGGTTGTTCAAAAAGATCTTACATTAAGCTTTGTCTTATTGTGCTTAATTTTGTGCTTCATGGATTATGTTCTTATCCAGCTCTTATTTAAGACTAGTGGTGCAGAGAGAGCAGAGACTATAGTAAGTTCTACAAACTCTGGGTAGCATGGCCGGTTCTCAGGAATTAGGAGATTTGTGATAAAAGAAAAAAAATCTAGAGACTCCATATAGCCTATTGCTGTGGTAGGGCAACAGAACTTGATCAGTTTTCCATCCACCGCTTGAAAATGGTCCTCCTGTAACAAGATTGCTGGCCAATGAAACATCAAGTCCATGTAAGTAAAAAATTCTTTGTAGAAGAGGCAGTATAATGTAGTGATGTAGGTGTTGGATTGGGTTCAAGGAGAAGCAGGTTAAGTCCACCTTCAGCCATGGGCGTTTACTGGGTGGCTTTGAGCCAGTCATTATCTCATACCCCATCTTACCTCACAGAGCTGTTCTTCTGATAATTTTGAAAAAGAAAGTGCTATGTACACTACCCTGAACTCCTAGAGGAGGAGGATCATCATCATTATCAATCACCATCACCATCAAGGGAGAGCAAGACAGAACTAGACCACATTTTGTGAAAATTAAAGAAATGTTGTGGACATAAGAAAAAAAAAAAAGACAGAGGAGCTGGGCAAGTTGATGTATTCAATTATCAGAGAAAAAGGTAGATGGGGACTCATAACAAGGCTGATAAAAGCAACTGATGATGCCATGTACGAGAGGCTGAAGAGAAGAAAAAGCCAGGAAAATATCTGTAAAACCATCTGACCTAATTTAACATTGATCAAAACGACCAGAGGAAAATAGGGGACAGTACCATAACTGTTAACTGAGAAAATAATAACTGGGGAAAAATAGTAAGAGAACCGGAGACTGGAAATGTTTTATCATATGGATATAAGATGTCCTTTGATGTTACAGTGAAAGCAATTTACTACAGAAAAAGCGGTTAATTAAAAATGAAGAATGAACAAATACTTAAATATTCCTACTACCTGATTGCCAAAGAGGTTGAATCCGTTAATTGCTTCTAGAGCTGCTTTTGCCAACCCGACAGAACTGAGAAACAAAGAAAAGAGACAGAAAGAAAAAGTTGTTTGTTATGCTTACAACTCTGGAAATAAAAATCCTGCTCCCTAAAGGTTAGCTTATACATCAGATAATTTCTTGCTGATAGCTTAAAAAGTCTTAGGACAAAATGATGATACAGTAGGTTTATTTTATTAGTTTTCAGCAATTTATATTTAAAGGTCACCAGTGATCTGTAAAAAATATGTATTTTTGAAAGCACCTCGGATTTGGACATCTGGCACCATACGTTTATAGGTCTTGCTGTAAAAGGAACAATAGTGGGCTTCTGTGTGTTCACCTTTCAGGGGAGTGATGAGAAAGAACTGGTGAGTTTTTCATTACTTCATGGGACCACTGATATATATGGTACTTCACGGACACTCTTCAAATCTGGCTAAGGGACCTAAAGTAAATTGTGTTCTTCTCTGAATACTCTCTAGGAGTGCTATAGTACAGCAATAAGCAAAATCCAGTAGTAAGGGGGACTTACTACTGGTCCTCAAAATTCCAGCTGTCACAGTGTCCCCGCAGTCATGTGATCATGATTTGCGACCTTCGCTGCTGGCTTCCAATAAGCAAAGTCAATGGGGAAGCTGGCAGGAAGTCACAAATGGTGAGCAAGTGACATCACACTTGATGGCATGGGATTCGCTTAATGATGGCAACTGGAACTGCCATCACTAAGCAGTGCAGTCAGGTGATGTTGCACTTTACAACCATGTCACTTAGAGACATACATTCTGGTCCCACTACCATCCTTAACCAAGGACTACCTGTACTTGAAGAAAATATTTATTTTATTATGAACCAAGTAGCACCAGCTGTTTCCATGAAATAAAACACTGAAGAATAATTCATAAATGGACAGATGCGTTTACTGTGAAGTTATCTATTATTTATTCATGCATCAACCACAAAAGGGTTCGTATTTTTTTTACCACAAAAGTGGAAAAGTGAGGATAAATAGGAAAGGGAAGGTATCTGTCTTAAAGAACCTGCATTGCATAAAGGAGTCCATGGACACAGTAGCTCCACTGACAAAGATTTCAGGTAAGGAAATTTACCTTTAAAGAGCTGGTGCCAGCCTGTATGATCACATTATTCCAAATAATGGATGTATTGACTCATTACATGGCAGTTTCATGAGTTCAAAAATTTACAGCTATGACCACAATGGCCCAGTAGAGATCACATGAACATGTCTATGTGAATTTTAGGCTAACATGCCTCTCTATTGTTTCAAGGATTTCAGATGCATTTGGTTCTACTTTTATTAAACAAACCACACTTTATATCCCTCGCTCTCAAATTTGAATTCTAGTTATTAAACAAACTGAACTCCTGAACCATTGTTTGATCCTAGCTTATTCTCATTAATTACAATTTAACCTCCCCCATTCCCATATATAAACAGTTCCCCAGGTTTAGGCATAGGGATGAATTGTGATTTATGTGAAAACAAAAATGAGAATTTTGAAATATATATTCTGCTCTCCAAAACAGAGAAGGGAAATACAGAACTCTAAGCTCATGCAGGCTAGTTCACAAAGTGATAAATCATGGTTTTCTATTACACCTGGGTATATACATGCATCTGGGTATAAAACTTTCATTAAGCCAACGTTTTTTTGATTCTTTATTCTGCAACACTTTCAAAATTTCTGAATAGAGCATTACATATATGCGGAGTATGGGAACCTGGATCTTGGCTATAATTTCCAATAACCTGCACATGCTTCAGAATTAGATCCCTGCCCCAAACCTATGATGTAGCCAGATGTATTTTCAGATAATAAAAATCAGCTGGACAAATTAAACAGGTTCCATTTAAAAACAAACCTTAGTTAGATTCCTATGCCACAGAGAAATAACTTCAAGCAAGAAACGAAGTGGAAATAAGTATCTCATAACATGTCATCTGTTTGTCAGATTTATGTATTGTTTTTTATTCAAGAGCTCAAGGCAGTGAACATAGCAGTACCTCCTCCCATTTTTCACTGCATTATCTCCCTATGAGAACTGAGGGAGAATGACAGGTCCCATATCACCCAAAGAGCTTCTGGGTCTACAACTGGACTTGAACCTGGATCTCCCAATGTCAGTTCAACATCTTAATGTCTACAGGACACCAGCTCCCTTAAATATAGTTTCCGATGGAACATTTTCATTACCAGCTTTCCGTGAAACATTGATTCTTCCTTTATTTCTACCATCGCACCAAGAGCTTTCAATGCTTTTCTGAAGCAACGCACAAGAGGGGAAAAAACCATGCGCAGTTTACTAATTGGTTCAACAAGGGAAGGCTGATTAGGTTGCCTACCGAACTTTGTTCTAAGCAGCTGCCATCAAAGGCTGGTGAAATCTCACATTTTTTCCCGATTTTCTGCTGATTAGAAATTATTCTCATCTTGATGACAGATGACACGTTAATAGAAGCTGGATTGCTTAGTGCACTGCTTCTCTAATGGAATCTTCTCCCCCATTAAACTCAAGAAGTACCTATGATTGCATCTTTCAGGCACTTCTTGAACACTTGCTCTTCACGCAGGCCTTCCTCGTACAAATCTATATAAATGTTTTTTCTTTCACTTTTGTTTTCTTCTCCCCTCCCCCTGTTTTTTTTAAACTCAACATAGTTTGGTACCATTTTAATTAACTCTTTGTATTTTGCAGTATACAAAACTGAACATCCTTATAATAAGGGGAAGCTGCCTTTAATTATATTAACAAGTCGGTTATAGCAAAGCTGCCTAACCCACTGTATAAACTAATGTGCCCCTAATTAAAATCCAAAATATTCAATAGTGCTGTATTAGGCACCCAATCTGTGTGGGTGGCCCCAGGATGAAGAAAAATCCAAACAAACTCTTCAAATGAAATGAACCACATATTTCCTCATTTTCTCTTTGCAGGGAATATTTAAAAAATGGGAACATTCAAAATATATCTGCAATTTAAAGAAGCACAGAGTATTTTGGCTTCTGGGAATTCCACAATCTCAGTCCAGCTCATCTGTAGACCAAACTCAAAGCTCTATTGCATTATGGAAAGTCCTCAAAACCTGCCTTATGCATGCAGCAGAACGAGGTTATAATACAACCTCAGGACATTTTTAATGCTTCCAAATTGGGATGGAGGTAACAGCTGGGGACAAGCAGGGAGGGGAGAGCCCCTGCAAGTAAAAACAAATGAACAAAAGGAAATGTAAGGAAGATTCAAAGCCAGCAGAGAGTTTTTGTATACATCAAATCATTCTCACAAAAGTGCAGTCACATACAAGATCCCCCGCCCATAACCTGAAGCGGCGTAGCTCCGTCGATTACATGAGAATTCTTCCACTCATCCTATCCTGTGCTTAGAGAAGGCATTAGTGCGGCTTTGGTTTTATCCAGACAAGTAAAAAGGCAATAGCCAATATGCAAGGACAGGAAGACAAGAATATCTCATAGTTATAGCTATACTCCTTTTCCGGTGCGCCAAAACATGGAGTGATGGTGGCTGGAGACCTATGCTCAAAAATGCAACAGCAAGAATATTGGGGTGGGGGAATCAGCAGGCTCCAGAAGCCTGAGAATCTCATTGTACCAAACTACAATAGCTTCCAGCTGATTTTTGAGCACTGAGAGATGGATGGATACAAGATATCTAAGGGACAATTTCTTCAGAGATGTTTCAGCCCATTCTTCAGATCTTCCAAAGGGCTTCATCTTTATGTTCTGCCAGGACAAAGACACAACTGCTTAAGACATCAGCGAGAGTCTTTCCTGTACAGATAGTCCTTGACTTACAACCGTTTGTTTAACGCCTGTTCACAGTTTGTTGTTGTTTAGTCGTTAAGTCGTGTCCGACTCTTCGTGACCCCATGAACCATATTGCGCCAGGCCTTCCTGTCCTTCACTGCCTCCCTGAGTTTGCTCAGTTTGCTCAGTTTCATGCTCATGTTCACAGTTACGATGGTGCTGAAAAGTGACTTACAACTGGTCCTCACACTTACGACCATTGTAACGTCCCCACAGTCACATGATCAAAATTCAGGTGCTTGGCATGTATTTACGATGGTTGCAGTGTCCCAGGGTCACTTGATTGTCATTGGCGACCTTCCAGGGGGCTTCCAACAAGCATTCAATGGGGGAAGCTGGATTTGCTTAACAATGATGGGGCAAAAAAGGTTGTAAAATCAGATGCAACTCACTTAACAACCACATCATTTAGCAATGGAAGTTCTGATTCCAATTGTAGCTGTAAGTTGAGGATTACCTGTAACCAAGCTCAGATTACAGAAAGCCCTGTCTAAGAAGTTTGCCTAGCTTCCCTCTCTACTGGTTTTTCTGTTAGCAGATTTATTTTTCTCCAGAAAGTGTTTGACTTACCAGATTAAGGAGTTATCTGGGACTGATCTTTTGCTTTAAAGTTGCTTCTTAGCAAATATATACATTCTTAAATACATTCTTAGATCATTTTTAATGTGATGTGAACCATCCTCAGCACTATTTTTACAAGGGAAGGGTTTAATATAAATATTTTAAAGTAATAAATTACAGAAATAAAAAGCTTTTTTCCCCCAAAGTATTTTTAAACCCGGCCCAGTTTTTTAAAAAGGAAAACAAAATCCGTCCTCATCAAATCTAAATAAGAGCAGGGCATATAATGGAAACCCAATAATTCTTAATTGATATTCCCTCAATAAATATATAATACTAAGACACGATTCAGCCATCACTTGGATAATCCAATTAACAGATATGTACCTATTTGTAATGCCACAAAGGAGTGGCTGTTTCAGATATGAGATCAGCTTACTGACCCCATTCCTTTAGCTTTCGACATCAGTAGAGGCACCAGAAAAGCTGACAATTTGAAAAGAGCAGCCTCAGCTTCTACCTTTTGCTTACATAAGGGATGAAGACTAATACAAATGGATTAAGAATGTGTTCCCTCTCTCAAAGCCGCCAATGGATACTGCTACCAGAAGCTAGCCTCTCTGAAGAATACTGAACAGCTCTTCCCAAGCTTTGTGATTACACCAGCTGCTAAACGTTGGGCTTCTGACTGACGCCTTCATGATTGCTTAAGAATAAGAGATGAGAGACTCTGCTACTAAATTACTGTTCATTGTCTTATGGGCAATCTTTAATTGCAAGCCCCAAGGTTTAATTTAAGAGAGAATCCAAGCTCAAGCGTTCAGTCTAACATGCAGAATTTTAGAAGGACTGTACAGTCTGAATGTATGAACAAACCTCCTTCAAATGCCAACTCATGCTCCGAAATAAGACTCTCTTCATGCAAGTGTGCACACCTAGATACACACACACGCAGACCCGCCAAGTGACTGTGGAGCTGTTCATTCAAACAGGATATGGTTTCCAGCCTAAGCTAATGTGTGGGTGCCTTCGAGCCAGTGTTGACTCCCGGAGACTGCCTGGACTAGTCCTCACAGTTATCTAGGCAAGGACTTTTGGAAGTGGTTTGCCATTGCTTCCTTCCTAGGGCTGAAAGAAAGTGAGTGGCCCAACGTCGCCCAGCTGGCTTCGTGCCTCAGGCGGGACTAGAACTCACGGTCTCCCAGTTTCTAGCCTGATGCCTTAACCAGTACACCAAACTGGCTAAGTTAAAGAAGTGATTGAAATAAATGAACACAGATGGGATAAAGAGGTTTTGAAAAAGCTTTCAACAACAAAACAAGCGGACCAGATTATCATCAAAATTGAATCACTAAGAAATCCAGAATCTTCCTTTGCTTTCAGATTTTAAATTTTCCCATTTGGAAATGATGTTTCTGTGGGAAGTATCAAGAATGATGCTAAACAGCCTAAAAAAGAAATCGTGTGTAGATTACTGGGATAAAAAACTGTATTAAAAAGACTGGCAGCCAAATGAACAAGCAAAACAAAAACTTAATAAGGATAGACAACACATCAGCAGGATGAGTTGCAGAACAAAGGAGAACAAGTGGAAGACTCTGGTGCCAATGTCTTTCTAATGCTCAGAGTAGAAAGACGCTGCTTTTCAGAAACAACACAGATGGGAAATGTCAAAAATGTTTTTCCAGAATAATTCAACAGATGCTTGGAAACAGCTTGAACAAAATGGTTACAGGACAAATGAGTATTTCAAACACATGGGTGGGAAACATGCATTTCTAGACATTACAGAGCTAGCTTTCCAAAATTTCCAAAAGAGTTAAATTGCAGACTTACAATTTATCATTGCTGAAAAGTCAACAATAAAAATGTTGCTATTTGCAAGGTGCTGGGGTGGCGAGCTGCAGCATGGGGCTTGAGATGGCATTCCTCAGGTGCAGCGGCAGTGCTGGGGCTGAAGTCGAGGCCTGGGGGGGGGTGGCAACTGGCTGAGACTACTGAACACCCCGAATTGTCCTTCAACCCCAGCCCCAGTGCTGCCACTGAGTGCCACTGTGCAGGGTGGCCAAAAGGGCATAGATGGGGAGGATAGGCAGATGGGGAGAGTTACAGCGCCCTGAGGCTTCCAGGGGCAGCTGTGGCTTTGTGGCGCACTGCAGCACCCCCACAACTCGCACGTGGCCTACACCAGGCCTCCCAGGGGCTCCCCCACTCCCCTATGGCACCCCTGCACTCTTTACCTGGGACTCCCTCTGCTTAATGATCCATGATTCTCGGTTAACAATGGCAACCGGGAGTGCTGGGATTGCGGTTGCTAAGCAAAATGGTAATGTGACATTTTGCTTTACAACTGCATCGCTTAGCGATGGAAATTTGGGTCCCAATTGTGGTTGTTAAGTGAGGACTACCTATATGGTCTTTTAAGTGGTTTATGATTGACTTCTACAAAATACAAAGTGCACAGCTACTAGTTAACATGACGTTCCTCAACAGAATTTTTCTCTAAAAGCAAGCCAGTATGGTCCAATGGGTAAGGTGTTGGACTGGCCCAATGAGAAGGCTGAAATCCACGCTCAGCCACAGAAACTCAATGGGTGACTTTGGACCAGTTACTTTCTCAGGTCACCCTAGACCACAGAATGGTTGTTGTATGGAAAAATGAAAGTCATGCTATGTATGTTACTTTCAGCTTCCAAATGAAAGGTGGATCTAAATCTATATTTAATTTAAACCAGAATAAGAGATGGGAAGAACATTAGCGGCTTGGTAGACAAGCCATGGTGGTGGCCTGAAATGGGCATTTGTTATGACATCAGAATTTTCAGAAGAGGATCGGCTTTCCTCTTCCTCTGATCATCTTGCTTTTTGAGCACACTGGTTTATGACTTTGAAACATTCTTTGGATAAAGTCACTCAGATGAAAGATTAAACTACAATGCTAAAAAATATTTAGTTTAAGGCCTAGTATCTATGCATTTAAGAGATGAAAGGAAACACATAAAATACACATCTCTGAATTTTATCGCAAGTTGCAAATAAATAAAATCGTAGACGTAGGCATCCACCTGACTCCTTAATGTTATTGTGTATGGAAATATATGCACTGAATCAATACAACAGCTTTTATATGTAACTGTCACTGTGACTTCTTTTTGTCAATAATATTTGTAACCTATTTTTCCCAAGAAAATTATTACAACTGTCATCTAAAAGGCCATGGTTCTACTGACTCCACAGCTAATGGAGCACAAACAGAAGTAACATGTAAGTTCAGACTTTTTATTTCGAAAAGGCATGCATGATGATAATAATAATAATAATATAAAAAACCAGTAACTGAGACCACTGGTATTAATAATGAAACAGACAGAGCTTGGAGTCTGTAAATGATCCAGCAGGATCTGATATTTAGACACAATATTTAAAACTATGGAGGTCAGGAACTTAGCCCTTAAAATGATTGTTACTTGGGATATGAAATGGCTTCAGAAAACTCACATCAACGTAGTGGAGGAAAAGCAGTGATTTTTTTGTTTTTGAGTTTGTTAGCAATAAGGCAGGGTCTGTGAAGCACAAAGATACATTGTTGGTATATATCAAGAAAGCCTACGCTTTGCATTAAATGTGCTTAACACTTTTTCTATGCAGTTATGTGAATCAGCACAGTTTCCAGCGTTTATACACATCTTTTATAAGAGCCGCTGTTGTATAGTTGTTAGGTTAAACCCAGGACGCCTGATTTTAAGTCCTCACGTAGCTACTGATACAGCATGAGTGACTTTAAACCAGTTAGTACCTCTCAGTCCAAACTACTCCGTAAGTTTGCTGTTGTGAAGATAACACTGAAAGAAGGTATGCAATAGGTACCCTTTAAATGCCTAGAGGAAAAGTAGGGTACCCATTTAACAAATAAATAAAAAAATAATTGTAACCTTTACCATAGTAAACTTGGGTACAGAACAGCTGTAAAACAACATGATAGCAAATCTGATCATTGCAAAAACAACGGTCAGATGGACACTGCCCTTCTGAGCAGCCCGTCAGATAGGAATGAGAAGAGATGGAAAAGGGGTTAAATAATATTTCTATTACATGGTTTGTTCCTGTAACATGGCAGCCCCAAGAATTCTTTCAGTATGGCTTCCTAACCTTTTCCAAGAAAGATTACTCATGACTTCCCATGCAACTTGAGTTCAACAGAGCATTTTAGCAGGTTTCCAAATGATTGCAATAAGCCACAGGCAATACTTTTTCTGTGGGACGCGGTGGCGCAGCGGCTTAATGACGCTGGAAGTTGCCAGATAGAAATGGTCAACACTTCAGCGGTTTGAGCCCAAGCTCCGTGCAGCGGGGTGAGCTCCCGTCATTTGTCCCTAGCTCCTGTCCACCTAGCAGTTCGAAAGCATAAGCGAGTAGATAAATAGGTACTCTTACCCCGGTGGGAGGAAAAACGCTGGCGGCGCCTTGCACAGGAAAACGGGTCAGTTGCTGGACACAACGCAACGGAAGAGCTCAATTTCCTGCGACCGCCAGCTGGGCTCCGCCCTAGGAAGGAGGCAACGGCAAACCACTTCCGAAAAAAAACCTTGCCAGGAAAACTGCAGGGACTCGTCCAGGCAGTCTCCGTAGACTCAGTCACGATTGAAAGAGGATTAAAAATATATATATACTTTTTCTGTTTAATCCTCCACTTTTGGAACATGTTCCTCTACTGGCTTTTCATGAGATATATTTAGAAATAGGTATTTTGATAGAGACATATTTAGAAATACAGAGTGAGAGAATATTCCTATTAAAAGATATTTATTACTTTATTTAATGTCACATTTCTATCCTGCCTTTCTTCCAGCAGCTCAGGGCAACAAGGTTGCAGGATTGGGTTATGAGATAGTGACCGGAACGAAGTCATCCAGTAAATTCCACACCAACATTCACATTAACTGAGACAGAACAGACTGTTGGAAAAAAGGAATGAATGAAAAAATACCTTGAATGCAATTCAGTGCTTCCATTGTTGTATTTGCTTCCTCTTTCCCACACACCAAAGTCCGGCACCCGATAAGCCCTTTCTACACAGAAAACGAGGTTTTGTATGAAAGAAACCTTCAAAGAAGAAAGGAAATGGAATTGAGATAAGCAAAATGCTGAAATCTATTAATAGTTCTGTGTCTGAAAGACATGGCTAGATCTTCAGATAATTCTGTTGGTCTTGCCTATAATTCAGTTTGCTATTATTACTGGGCATTACATGTAAATGGAGGAAGTATTATTCTCTAAAATAATGTTGCAACAGCAAGCAGTCAAGAAGAATTACTTGACTGAATTTTACTCCAAGCTCAGCCTGGAGAATTCCCTCTTTTCCATCATCCCCAGGACTGTATTGCTCTGCTTAGAAAAATCAGGTCTACACATTGGGAGTGCCAAATGCTTTCACTTCTTTCTTGGAACACTAGGAGAGGGATAAAAAAAGACACAGTACTGACAATTGCAAGGGTAAAGCTTTTTCATCCTGGGGCTGCCCTGCCCTGGGTGCATAAGGGATGTAGCTGCAGTAATGATATCACGGGTTCAAAATGTTTATAGACTTGTAGGGCTAGACTTGAGAAGATAAGGAGTGAAAATGGTTCCTCAACTCTTACAGAGGGTTAAAGTACCCATTTCACTCTTTAAAACTCAAAGACTCCAAAACCTTTGACCCCACTCACTTTAGGGAACTCTGGGAAAGGTCTCATGGCCTCAGTGGGAGCGCTAAGGCTGTATCTGGTACATGTCAAAGACGTTCTTCATTACTTCATGCAGGTTGGCTTTCTATCTGCTCCTTCCACTTGTAGGACCCCCTTCCCCCAAAGCTCCTTCAGAAACTTAGAGAACCCTCAAGCACCTTCCATCCAATTCTTGTTTTCAACAGCATCTACACTACTTTGCATACAGTTCAAAAGAGAACCCTAACACCAGCAGAGGTTTAATAGTGCAGGGGTAGTAAAGTCTTCTTCGTAAATTAGGTTCCTTCTTTTGTACTATGCAGAATTAAGCTATATTCAAGCTACTCAAAATTCTATCTTTACATTTTAGATACATTTTATATGCCATATTATATGTGGAAAGTTATTCTACAGATCTGAATTTTCAGGTACAGAGCATGTATAAAATACGTTGCTCAAATTATTGATATGGGAAATAATCCTTTTCTGTTTGTAAGGAGTTAACAAATATCATTGTTCTACACAGAGAAACAAAACCCATTACATTTATTCAACCATTTAAAACTTGCTCAGCATTTTCATCTACTACTGGAGGCAACTCATTTACCTCCAAGGGAAACAAGGAGTAATAATGAATAGCTTCAATACACTCAATAGGCATAACATCTTACACAAGGGATTAGTCTAAATGTGAAATAAAGAAAAAAAATGGGAAGGAGGGGGCAGGGCTCAGAAAGAACTCCAGCATGATTATTTCAATCTGTACATTCATAGGACAAAACTACTCAGAGTCAGTGACAAATTCAAAGTATGTGACATCTAATTAGGCAAGACTCCTCCTCCTTCTCCTCCTCCTCCTTTCTGCCAAGTACTTGCACCCCATTTTAAGAGGCAATCTGGTATTGAGGAATGGTTGAAAGCGTGACCTATACCAGGCAATTTCTTATCCAAATCTCATTTTAGTTATGACCTTCTCAGATGATCTTAGGTAAGCTGCCACCACCCAGTAAGGCTGGAGGGGCACCTCCAGCCCAGGCTACTCCAACCCCCTTGTATGCGGCCTTAGATCTCCCAATGACTTTCATTGTTGAAAATCTACCATATTTGGAGGGAGCCCACAGGAACTGAAATGTAAGTATCATATAATTAAAACAAACTCACTCATCACCATATGAAGTAAGCAAGTGGGAACATTCAGGTCAAAACTTCCCAAGCATAGAAGAGTTTGCAGATTATTGAGAAGTACAGACAGCTGGATTTAAGAGCGCTAGGAAAATCTTTGTTCTTGTGATGGAAGGCATGAGTGAGGAGGATCCTGGAATGAAGCTTCAAGGTTACAGGGAGGGGGAGAGACATTCCAAGCACCTCCTCAGCCCCCAGCCGGAACGTGTGAAAGTGAAAAGAAGGAGACTGGCCCCTCCCTAGGGATTCAGGGTTATAGTTGCTGTCGTTGAGGATTAGAGTTAGTCTGGCGAGATTCTGTCTAGTAGGTGTAAGCTAATAAAGTAACTGAGCTGTTCCTGGACTGTCTTGTTGTGGTTCTTGGGCTGAACCTGACAGTTCTGTTGTCAAGGCCTGTTTACAGCCAGGTTTACTTTAGTACAGTATCAAAACATGTCACTGAAGGCGATATTTTTTAAAAAGTGTTTCAATGCGGAAATTTGCTATGGGACAACTTTGCTTCACTTGTGGGAATCCTCCAACCACAGATTTCCCCACTCTATCCCCAGATCTAGGTTTCATATACATTTATATGGATGTCATGTTTCACATACACATTCACATTGATTCTACACATGCTTTAGAAGCTGTTTTAAGTGGCATTTCTGGAATGAGCAGGGAAATTTCTGCAGGCATAACAGCCCACTGCGTGCTACAGAGTACATATGCAGATATTGACAGAGAGTCTATTAAAAAAAATAGAAATAATATTTTTAGAAAACAGTTATTATTTGATGGGGGGAATAAAATCATATTTTCTTGAAATACACGGAAGTGCACACCAGGTAAATTAAGTAAGCTCTTTGTAAGGATCCATTGCACATTCACCTACCCTTTACATGGTTACAGAAATGCTAACAGAAATAGTTTCTTGCCATCATTCAGGGCAAGAAGGAAAAACATTACTCCAGATTTATTTTAATTCAGCTATTTCAGAAGGCGCCCAAGGAAAAGAGTTTACTTCCATTTTGTTTAACCCATATGGCCTATAAGACTCCTTCAGTCTGCTTTACTGAGATATGGAATTGACTCGTTCATACCTCATCTGTGTTGTAGATAATCTGCAGACCAGATGAAATCATCTCCACCAGGTAGAGGAGGAAGAGTGATACAGCATTTATCTAGAAGAAGGCAAAAGATAAAAGAAATAATCCTGTCAAGGAAAAAATTAGCCTGCACATATTATAATGCCTGCAGTCAATGTGTCTAGTAAAACTAGAATTAACGAAAATAATAGGTGTAAAATGGAAAATAAATGTATGTCTTGTATCTGGAAGAGGCTGATAATCCTTCAACATGCTTGGTAGCTGGGAGCTTCCTACTGTAATTTCCTCTTGCGTCTCTGAGTTGTATCTACATGATATAATGCACAGTTCCAGGATCAGAGATACCTCTTCAAGGTGCATAGGTGGCTTCTTCTTCAGCATCCATTTTAGAAAATACTAGTTTTTAAATAAAAGGGACAAAATTCAGTCATAGGACATCAGTTTGGGTTTATTTTAAAAGTTCTTTATTTCATTATCACTGATGCCTGAATCCCTCCAGAGTAGAAAAAGGCAACCCGCAGCCCTCAACTTAATTTCAAAATTGTCTTGAAATAAATAATTTCAGAACTCAGAGCCATCTGTCTATTTTTTTAGCAACACCTTACAAGGCAGGACAGGCAGAGGAGAAAGGAATGGCTAAAAGGAAAACAGAAAGTGGTAGGCCTACCAACATTTCCTTATAGGCTGCATGCTAATAGTTTTGCCCTTGCCCACTACAAACACGGAGGCTACAAATGTCATGGACAGCCAAGAAAACAAACCAATGGATCATTGAACAAATCAATCCAGAGTCCTCGCTCGAGGCACAAATGACCAGGCTTAAATTATCCTGCTTTGGACTCATTATGCGAAGACCCAGCTCTCTGGAAAAGGCTCTGATGCTGGGAAAGGTGGAAGGAAAGAGAAGAGCACAACAAGCAGCAAGGTGGACAGATTCAGTTACAGTGGTGATGGGTGCACCATTGGATGACCTGAAAGACTAGGTTAGGGACAAATCATCATGGAGAAAAAAATATCTATGTGGTCACTAAAGAATAAACAAGGGCTTGATGGCACATAATCAAATCAAATCCAAAGGAAATCTAATCCACCTGGCCTTAAAGAATGCAAGAAACATCCCTGGGTTGTATCTCTCCCTCATAAATAAAGCATTTCTGAAGCCGCCTGCCGAGGGAAGTCTTCATTTTAACCAACTCTTCCGCGCCTGATTCATAGGATTTAAATTACATTTATGAAAAACGAGCTGTTGACATAATTATCTCTTAGATGCCAATACCATCTGCCACAGCAGTTCCCTACAAGACATTATGCTGGGGAAGTATCGAGACAAATACCAGAGGAAACAAGAGCACGCAAAAGACTGCCCACATCATAACATGCCAAATTACACCCGTTCACCTGATAATTTAAAGGGAAAAAAGTCTTAAAATATGAAATCCTTCAGTTCTCTCTTCTTTCAAGGAGGCAAACTGCAAGAACATAACTATATTTAAATAACTGTCTTGCAACTGAAATGCCCTATTAAAACAGTAGCAATAAAAATAGCACTGAAAAGACTACATTCTCAAAACCAAAAGCAGTCATAGCAGTTAATTAACTTGCAGTGTGATGCCTAAAATTCATCAAATTGCATGACTCCAGAACCAAACCATGCCCAGCAGGAAATATGCTGTACTACAATGTACAATATTGTATTTCAAAGTGATTCTGAAGAGGTTCTGCAGGCAGGAAAAAACACAGCCACTGTGTTTGAAATGCCTTGTTACTGCTAAGGGAAAATTCTGATCTATCACAGTCACGGACAAGATTACTATTATCCCAGGTAAAATTGACACCTGATGATCCAAAATTTGACATATGCAATAAGGAAACCCCATAGAATGGTGACTAAGAAAGAAAGCTAAGAATTAAACTAAAAATCCATCAACTTTTAATTAAGTGGCTGGCTGTATTCTAAGAAGGGAAATTGAATCACCCACCATAACAGAGCATCCAGATCAGCAGTTCTTAAAATAAATCTATAAACATATTTTAAGGTCTGCATTTACAGAGCCAAGGCTGCCTTGTTTCAAAGACAGCAACAATTCATTTGGCCATTGTACTGATATTGTTTACAGTGAATTATACAGCAACAAATCAAACTACAAAACAGCTTGCTGTTGTTGGTCTGTTAAAGCAGGAAAATCAACCTGTCAAGCTCAATAGTTGAACGCATTTTAAAAGAACTCTAGCCTCTAACTAAACAGCATGACATAAATATTATTCAAAGTCATTCTGGTTCTGTAGTACATTTAAAAAAAATTGGTACCTGCAGATGACCATATTCCTCATGAGAAAAGACCTCATCGCCTGTGTGAACATTGAAAACAGAATGCAGGCATTTGGATGGCTTAGGATCTTGCTTATATTGTTGAACCTGGGGGGAAAAAAGATTACATCTAGTCCTACACAAGTATTTGGATGAGTCAAGCTACCAACACAAAGTATCACAAGCCACTAAACATCACAACAGTTGGACTTCTAAGAAAAGCACTATGAATTCTGCAGTGATACCTGTTACATTTTTTAAATATAAGCAGTTGGAAAAGTGAGCTATTATTCTTAACAACCACTGTTTCATAAGTGGGAGTCAACACAACATAGATAACAGAGTAATCTTCTAAAATTACCATCCTTCTAGACAAAGTGTACAAAATCTCCTTTTATTTAAGGAGAATCAAGTCTCTCCCACATAGAAGTGAGCAGATAAGGTGAGCCCATTTCTGACCTTTTCTCCAAAGAGAATTCTGCCAACAAACCAACAGTCTTAGGACCTACCCCTTACTTTTTGAAGAAAGTATGTTCTTTCTCCAGAAAAGAAAGTGGATAGAGAAGGTTATAATTTTTAAATTATCTAAGTAGTTTATTTTCTAGATTTTTAGCACAGATGGAGAAAATGAGTAATGTTGCAACTTTAGGAAGAGCATAATCTTTGGTAAACAACTAATGATTTATTATAACAATCAAACATCATTCTGATTTCTTCAAAACAGCTGCTATGGTTCCTCAGCCACAAGGTCATTCCCCATTGCCTTGAACAATTGACACACAGATTAACAAACCCTGTGCACGTCCCTTAAATGAAGCCGTATTAATAAATTATATTTCAAATGATTATTTGTTTAAAAAACTGTATGGAACACTGATGCCCACAGATTAAAGAAAGCAACTGAATTCAATATGAACCCAATGCTTTTGTTCAGATTCCAACCAGATGATCATGTCCTTTTCCAGAATAATCCATTCCTTTTTCTTTCCCTTGTTTTCTTCTCTGCCATAGCAATCCGAGAGCATTTCCATGCCCATTTAACAGGCTCGGTTGTCAGTGTGTTCCCCATGGCTCTTTTTAAACCATGAAATCTTTTATGTGCACAGCCATTTTGCTTTCAAAAGGACCCGTGCTTGAAGAACGATGCTACACCTTCTAACAAATACCCAAGGATATTTACAGAAGAAACTCAAAGCTTGCCATCGAAAGAAAAGCAGTATCACATAATTACAGCAATATTAATACAATCATGCAGCAATATAAAAACAATTATAAGAGGCAGTAGCAGCAGTAAAGGGAACCATTAAAATGACAACACCCAAAGAGTTATAACTATTTTCCTGGGCAATGAGCATTTCTCTGTTCACTAGTCAGAAATATCACTTCGTCATGTGATTCCCCCAAAGTATCATCCGCCATGTGATTATTGTGATACACTGCTGTCCTTTGTATACAGACAGTTTCATCTGCAGGTCAAATTCTGTTCTAAAACTTCCACCTTCAGTTATGTTTTTCTACCACACTGTTTTCACCCCAACACCCCTACCATCTGCAGGACCTCCCTTCAAGTTTCTCAACATCCTTCTGATTATTAGTTGGGTCCGACCCCCCGCTATTGCCTGTATCAAAAGCAATTAAGGAGTCTGAGGATTTTTGCCACAATTTAGAACCACAAACCAGGAGACCAGAGTGTAGCTTTTGTGCTATGTTTTTCCAATATAGATATATTTGAAACACGCTTCTGAATCATATGAAGATGTTAGATCAGAAGGAGAGAAGAAGGGTGTCTTGAGGAGCACCACAATGGGGATCTGAGTCAGGATATTTAGAGTCTTGCAAACAGACTGGAAAGTCTGGAGCTGGTGCCCAATGAATATAAATAAATAATAAAATAATAATAAAATCTGTTAAGGGTCTAGGTATGAGCAGGTTGCAACCTGAGTTGCTTGCACACTTCCTTTCTCTGAGGGGGATGCAGCAGGTGGCAGGATACTTCTCTGGGTTCAGAAATAAGTAGGGTTGTGATGGAATGGTTTGATGAAGGCCGCGCTCGGGGAGATAAGCATT